GTGTGTGTGTGTGTGTGTGTGTGTGTGTGTGTGTGTGTCTAGAGGTGGACAACGGACCGATGCGGTGAGATTAGCTGACTTGTCGCCATGGCATGGCGGACCGATTCTCGTGCAAATGGGGAAACCTGCTCGAAGAAGACACAATATACCTGATGTATTGTTGGAGAAACGAATATCCTCATGCCCATGCATCGCTATGCTACAGTCCCAAAGAAAGACAATCCTGAACGCCAACACAATATGCCGCCACCTATCTTGTATCCAAATTCTCAATCTGCCCTATACACCCTCCCTATAAATCTTGCAAATGTCTTGCCCTAAGCAACACCACCAGCCCCTCCTCCCGCACCCCCAGCACTCCCTCCCACATCGCTTGTAGCACCTCCTTTCCCCGCTTTCCTCCGCATGCTCTTGCTACGGTGTGAATAGTAGTTGCTCGGTTCCTTCATCTGCTCCTTGTCGAGGCGCTCCTGGCTGGGTTGCAGTTTGCCGTCTGTGGCGCGTTCCTTGACTTTGCTGACTTTGGAGCCCATTGTGGGTGTTGTGTCGGGAGCGTTGGGGTTGATGAAGGGTTGGGGTGGAGGTACGGGTAGGTAGGGGAGGAAGGGGTAGGTTGGCGTTGGTGTTGAGGTGTTGGTGGGTGTGGTTTGCGCGTGTGGTGGAGAGGTGGTAGACGTAGAGGTAGAAGTATGGGTTTGGTCAGATAGGATGATTACACTGGTGTCTTGTCAGCTCAATTCTAGCAGCAGGTCGCGTGTGCGCATTCGCGCAGGGCTGCCTTCTCAATCTACTTACGGCGGCGCAGGATGAGGTTCCGGTTCCGGTTTACTTGGAGGTCTCGATGTCGCGTCGGTGAGTTGAGATTCTTGTCGTGAGAGTTCAGGTCTAGAAATAAGGAGAAAGTTAGGAATTGGACCGACAAAAGATACGAGATGGTTGCACAAACTACCTAGGTAAGATTGGGCATACGTACGACAGGGATGACGTAGGTGGGCGCGGCTGGAATGGCGGATCGGCAGGGTCTGGTACCTGGAAGTGGGGCGCAGGTGCTTTACCGGATCGGGCGAGGATGATGATTCTGGGTTGGAAATGGTTAATGGGGGTGGTATTGGTTTGGTGATAGTCGTCTAATGATGGTTGAGTTTGAGATGGAAGGGCTGGGAACTTACGGTGGTGCAGCTGGCGGTTCTGGGTCGTTTCCACCGTCCTTCATCTCTCCAGAAGTTGAGTATGGCCCTCGGTGTGACATCTGACTTGAGTACTGAGACTGTAGTATGAAGTTCCAGGTAACTCTGTATACTTCGAGTAAAAGCTTGTGTGCTTCTATGACAGAGACTGCGTGTATAACGGCAATGGAAGACTGCCCGATGTTGTTGATAGTACGAGATTGGGCTTGAAGGGAAGTCATAGCAAGAGCTGGCGAGAAGGAGATATCCATAGTATCCATTGAGTTGATGGCCCTAACCGTGCCCCATCCCGACTCTTATATATGATATGAGGCCTCTCATCTCAGCACGAGCATGAGCGCATTTCCAACGATCTCCCACCGACTCACAGCCTGAGTCATGGCTGTCGCAGCACTCTACTCTTTCGATTTGGCCCCATGATCCCATCTAGTTCTCATCTAACGAGTAGGAATGGTCGTTTCCACGTTGAAGAACGCGCTAGAGCAACGTTGAAAGCTCGGCCAGAACGTGTAGGGTCGGATATAGGGCTAAGTTTGGTAGCCGTGACCCGCTTGACAGCCTGTATAGGAAGATCCATTGGATCGACCCGGTTTTAGTCAGAGGGAAGCCTGAGGAGGCTCAAGTTAAGCTTTCTGGCATGTGTCTCAGAGGTGACCCGTTTCGGTGTCTAAGTGCGAGGCAGTTCGGTCAACCGAGTCGGCGACTCGGAAGACTGAATTAGGTGCATCAGGCGAGCCATTGCCTTTAGTCGGGTATAGATTCATTCTTCCCCTTCAACCAAGCGGATCGCGTCGCGGGCGATGCTGTAGTGATGTGGCTGTGCGTGGGATATGGGCATCGTGTAATTTAGCTAGGGCGGTTAGAACTTCCGTTCGTGGGAGGCCTGGTAGGCCGAGCAGGAGGCTTACTCTGGATCGCCACCATGGCGGTGTTGTGCATGATAAGGCCCTCAATCATCTGTGATGAAGAGGGAGAGAGAAAGAGGAAATTGCGACATTAGTGACGGGATTAGGGACGTGGAGATGTTTGGCCGTTCGCGCATGGCGCATGGTGCCCCGCTTCAGCCCTGGAGGTCCACAACACCGGGCTGGTTCCTGGCCGTGGCCGCCACGGCCGCCCACTCAATTCCCGCCGCTACTCTGCAAACCCACCAACAACTGCATCATCATCCTCATTCTCAGCACACTCGTGACTCTAGCTCTCTCATCATCTCTCTTGACTAATCGCCTTTGTGCCGCGACGTTCAATGCCGCGCTCTTCCTATTGCTCACACGTCTCTGCCACGGCGGGTTCCGACATCCATCTCTCTGGGAACACCAACGCCCAGATCGACCACAGTGCCAGGGATCATGGGCTTATCTCAGCCATAAATAGAGAGCTTCGCGACACTCTAGGATTGGTCTCAGGACCAGACTTGTGACTCGTATCACAATCATGTCTGCCTCGCCCTAAGGTGAACGGTCGTTGGGGGCCAATGGCAGTGCACGCGGAGCCGAGTTCCAGGACCACCACCAAGCCTTGAGCAGCCTCGTCTGTATTACTGCTTATATAATGCACGGCGAACCGACTGTGACGTCTTTGACTGGTTAGGAACCCAGCAGGTAAATTATTCCCAAAGATTCCAGACCATTGACATGAGGGCCGACCGAGCCCTGCTCCGACCGGTCAGGTCGTCTTACACATTGGCACACCATGTCTACCGCGCATGCATTTCCTGTCACGGGAGCGTCACACCCTTCGCGCTTATATATCAGCTCTGACAGCTTGAGCGCAATATGTAAGTATGGCGGACGTAGAAAAACGTCCGTACGAGCTTGCACAGCAGTATGCGAAAACGTTACCAATACAAAGGCAACTATGACTCCAAACTCCAAGGAAGGCCGAAATTCCAAACACTAGTCCAATCTCAGTAGTCCATCAGGCCAAGAAGCTGACAGAAGCACTATCAAGGCGATGTAGACGCGCCGCGTCCGATGATCCATTCTTGTCTCTCGAAATCATCCGAAAGAAACGCCCCCACATCTCAACGCCAAAAGCTAATCGGCCCACCACTCCTCAATCATCACACCTATCCCCCTCAATCCAGTACCCTACGCACAAAGCGGAACCCCAGCATTACAAGTACACCCCGACGGACAATTAAACCCGGGCACCGTAGTTTCCGGCTGCGGCGGCTTCGGCTGTGAGGGCGGCTCAGGACCCGACCCATCAGGTCTATAATTCTTCTTGAGCGCCTCTACAATTAAATCGCCCATCTCTTTATGCCCATCCTGCGTGGGATGCAATGTCCTGGCGATACGCCCATCTTTACTCCCACTCCCTCCATCTAGAGGCTGCGGCTCAACCTTCCATTCCATCCATAGACCAGGGTTCGCGGGGTCACGGAAGGTAAGGATAGTGTATTGATCCTGCTGCACGGCTTCGCCCTCGGGATACCCACGTAGTTTCTGCACGATATCCTCAGGTGGGCCAGGGACGCCGGGGTCGTCGCTGGACTCGTACGTGGCGGCTTGGTCCCCGTCGTGAATGGTGACGGCGAGTCGGGCGGGGTTGTTCCATATGTGCACTTTGGACCCGTAGTTGAACTGCGACCACCAGCTGTGGCCTGGTTCGCAGAAGCGGTGGCCTTCGAGAGCGGGGTTGATGTCGATGTATTGGATTTTCGGGTCGTTGTATTGTTCTACCGAGGAGCGGATGGCGAGGTTCACGGCGTCGACCTGGAGGGCGTGGAGTTAGTGGGTTATGGAGAGAGTTGGGGGTGAATGTGAATAGAACTTACTAGATCATTGAAGTCTTGTCGCATCTCCTTTTTGACCGTCTGTGTCTCGTTTTGCCTTTGGTACTGTACGCCGAAGTCCCAGTCATTGCACGCGTCGCCCAACGCGAAGAAGCGCGCATATCCCAGCATGAAGAGTGTCGCATTGTTTCCTCCGACAGCTGGATGGTACCTCCAGGTCTCGATAGTATCCAAGACAGCCTGCTTAAGACCTCCTCCAACTCTTCCTCGTACTAGCTTGATCTCTTTCCTACACAATCCCGTCGGGTTATCAGCATGGTCATCTTCGTATTTCGTGCCATAGTCTTTCTTCCTGTCGGAATGGAAGAGGCAGCTGTCGGCCATGGGGTAGAAATCGACATTGTTCCCGCCGGCTTCGAGCATGGTCATTTTCGGTCGTGTCAACTTGTCCATTTGGTCGTGGATGTTCTGTCCCAGATGGGCGCCAGAGCAGGCTCTGAACTCGAACAGGGAACCTTGATCTGGGTTTGGTGTCCAGTCTTTGTATCTGTCGTTGACGACGGTCGACCAGGCGTACTTGTAACGCATGCATCCATCTTCGTTTCCGTCGTATGCAGTGGCGTCGCTCCATTGAACCCCGCTCTGTTTTGTGTCAGTCGACAAATATCCTTCGAGTGGTGGGGTTATTTACTCCCCAAGAATCCCCGATGGCGGAAAAGATGAACTCATTGTCCCTGGTGGTCAGGGTTGGGTTAAGAACCACGCCTTTGGGGTAACCCCACACTGTCTGTGCCAAAAGTATTGGCCCAAGAGCGAGAGCATTCCGATACGCAAACATATTGTTACGTTTGTTCGAAGTCTTTTGGGTCAGATACTTGTGCAGAAGAGAAGACGAGATGAAGGACTGGTTGAGTATCTTCACTATCCGCTCTCTACGATCTTCTTATACCTTTCACCCCAGAGATGTCCTCAAGGGCCTACTGTCAGCAGTGAGCTTGTACGAGACCGTCTGAGCGGACTTCTGATCTTCAAACCCATCTTCATGAAACGCTTCGGCGGCACGGGGCTTACATCAGACATCCTCCCTCCGGTTCTGTATACACACCATATGTATCTTCCACCAGGCGTACTTTTTGCGGTCTAAAAATGTTGTTTGCGAAAGCTTCAATGCTCGGTTTAGTCACTTTTACCATTGCACAAGTCGTGATGGCCCTTATTCCTACGATTTATCAGGTGTACCAACTTCCAAGTAGACGAGCGCTTGATCCGATTCGACGTGGTAGAGGCCAAGCTCAAAGTTCGCCCGAATACCGAAGTTGACAATTCGCACGCATGTTTTCAGTATGGGGCCAATAACGCCCGGCGCTTGGGTGAAGTCCACCTTGAAACTGGGGGTCAGAATAGCCTGGCTTGGTAGTCAGAGACGTAAGCAGCAGGGCAGAAGAGCGACGGGGCGGAAGCAAAGGTCAATGGAACTGATTCAACGATGAGGCTGATATTTGATCCTGCGCGAGGCTGTGAGCATGCACTAAAATATCTATTGAGTAGGCCTGATCTCAGCCCGAAACTTTGATGTCAGTCTTGCCGATCAAGGTGGATGCCCAGAGGTCAGCCGGTTTAATAGCACATTATTTCTGGCCTCATGAGACAAGTATGGCCGTTCGTTTGACTCACTCGTACACGTTGATCAACAGGAATAACCCATAACTGACAAATTGATACATCGTCATGCGCACCCGCAGCTACAGCAGCAAGGTCGCAATGTACCAACGACAACCAGACTGATCACTCAATCATCCGTATCCCAAATACCCAGTGTGACATCCATCATCCCCCTCAACCCAACAACCGCTTCCATGCGACTTGCTGCTCCTCTCCCTCTAACAGCCTTAACGAACCCATCACCCTCCTCTACCTCATCCAGCGCACTCGCATTGAACTTGATCTCGCCGTCTTTCGCAATCGCATCCATGATTCCAAACCAACTGAACGGGTACCGCAGGTACAAATCACCAGTGCCGACGTAGTGCGAACTCTTCGTACTGAGAAGGGGATCGTACATCTCATCCAAGAGCTCTCGGCCTGTATTAAATAGATATAAAACCGTGTTACCATACAGTGAAGTCGTAGAAATCGTGCTTTCGTCGTCGGGGCTTACGGCAGCAAATGGTCGTAGATACGCGTTTATATTGCCGCTGATGCTCACGAGATTGGTGAACGAACCATGCGGGATCTCCGCGACTATATTGCCGTAAGCCGAGTGGATATTCGTGCGATGTGTAAAAGGCTGCTGTGGCCAATATTCCCAGAGCGCAGCGACGTTGATGTCTCCGCTGACTGTGTATACCGAGATGAGTTCTGGTCGCATCGGTTTTCTCGTGAACGTATACCGCGGTACCAGCATCAAGATGATCTGCCCGCTTTCGCTGTGCACCTTCATTGTGCCTTCACAGCCGTACCAGCCCCACATGACTCCTGTTATTGAGCTGGAATCAATGTTGTGTGGATGCAACGGGTCCTCGCCTTTGCCGCCTTCGTATGTGTACTCGCCGTGCGAAGTATGTGTGATGAGGCTGTTGATCTGCCAGGCCCAGTCGTGGATCCACAGATCGAATGTCTCGGATTTGATCTCAAGGATATCCAATATGCGCACGGGTGATTCTGGACGGAGGTATATCATAACTTTGATTTCTGTACAAACGTCTTCATCATGATCGGAGGGAAGGTAGTCCAGGCTGAGGCCCGTTGCAGTTTGGTTGTAAACAACATTCTTGTAGTCTGCAATAGAGCTGGAATTAATTTCGAGCCGGACTTGGATATCTGAGGTCTGTTCGACTTCGCCTTTCTGGACGTGAATTATACCAGAGAGACGACCGCCAATTGTGGAATTGGATGAGTCGAATAGACGCCAATGAGTTTCAGCCTCGTCGCTGTCTGAGATGTTGAAGTCGAACGTGCGCGCTTCAGAAGAGAAGATCGATTCACATCTGGCGTAGTTGATGATGGCCGGTTTGTTGTCATATACAGATCCATCCGGCGTCTTCATAGGGTGGAGAGGACACGCGTGCCAATACAGCATTACTATTGCGATTACGAGGAGGAATAGCTGTGGTACCCTCCAGAGTGGACGCTGCCGATATGAGGGACCTGATTCCTCTCCGGGGAGCTGCATACTAATTAGCGTTGATAAAGCGAACGTGTAGACACTGGCCATCCGTACCTCACGCCCGCTAGAACCCGCCTTCATTGCCATCTCTGTCATGGTCGCGTTCTGCTGTGAGTTCTTTGGATGGAGGCAGTGGAGGAAGAAACGGAATCAAATGAAGAGACCCGTAAACGGCAAGCACAACCAGGAAGGCAGCAGCCGCGATGCCATGCTGACTGTGAAGACGCCCGGTGCCGCACGCGGTTTCAGAACTCTGCGACGCGCCACAACCCAGACTCCGACACGAGGCGGACTGCACGCTTCTGATGAGCACTCTAAATAGCTCATCTTTATATTTGAAAGAGAAGTCTGCGCCCGAGACGCGCATTGTGATCATGTACGAGCGGCATCCTTCGCGCTTCAGTTCCGCCCCCACACGCTAGCCCTCAGTAACAAGGCGAACAAATGACGTCACAACAACACGATGTACATCACGATCTAACTCGAATAAAAGTTCATGAATGCTTCATCTTGAAGACTTTCTCCTTAGTGAGGTTCTACCTAATCGTGCTATTAGGTCAGAAAATTGCCAGCACTCGGCTGCCCACAGGCTTGCTCCAAAACACAGATGCCAACCCCGACGCCGACGCCAGAGAAATATGCACCAAAGCTCATGAGAGTCCGTCAATCGTCTCCTCGCTCACCCTATCGAGCTCTTCACCATTCCGGACGAGGTCGCGGCAACATGAGGTAGCCTTGACCATCGTGAGTGAGTGGGCAAGGGACGAGGGGGCAGTTGCCGTTCTTGTACTTCAATGAGCACATGAAGCGCAGGCACTCTGTGTTGTTCTCCTTGCAGGGGCGACACTTGGTACCGCTGTCACATCGTCGGTCCAAGGCGTAACACTCCGTGCATGAGACGACGGTCTCGGGAAGCTTGACATTGGCGCGCGGCGGGACGACATGGATGGCACCACGAAGACGCTCACCGTTCTTGCTGAGATCCATGATACGGGCGTCCTTGCTCCTGAGTTCGTCCTTGGCTTCCTTGAGCTGGATACGCTGGCGATCGGAAAGAGTGGTCATTTCACGAAGCTTGCCCTTGATGTCCTCGATGGCGCCGCGGTTTCCATGTTGCTCTTGCGCCTCGGTCAGCTCGAACCTCCGGATGACAAGCTCTTGTCGTAGAACAGTTATGGTCTGCTCGCGTGCAGTCGCAGCGTCAGAAAAGGCCTGATTTTGTGAGCGGTGATAGTCGATGATTCGCTGACGGTCGACTGCCTCCTGACGCAAGTTCTCGATAGCATCCTTCTCCTCTTCGATGGCTGCCTCGGCTTCCTCGATCTCGCGGTTGCGAACTTTAAGGGTCTGCCTGAGCGCTGCCAACTCGGCATCTCTGGCGGCCAACTTGATGTCTATAGCGGCCAACTCGGCATCCTTAGCAGCAATCTTGGCCCCATGTACATTGTCCTTGTCGCCTAGCATGTGTTAGCTCAGGCCTTCTTGATACAGTATGATGTTCGAACTTACTTCCGGGGTTTGCCTTGTTGATCAATGCATTGCGAGCACCTAGCTGTTGATTCTTCTTCTTGATCTTAGCAACATTTCCTTCGATCTCAACTTCCTTCCTTACCAGCTGAGCGTTCTTGGTCTTGATCTCAGCGTCCTGCTTCTTGATCTCAGCGTCCTGCTTCTTTATCTCAAGGTCCTGCTTCTTCATCTCAGCGTCCTGCTTCTTCATCTCGAGGTCCTGCTTCTTGATCATAGCGTCCCTCTCAGAGAGAGCGCGAGACATCGCGGCATTCTGGTTCTCGGTGGACTCGATCTGGTATCCGACAAGGCCTAGCTTCGTGGTGAGCTCAGTGTTCTCGTGCTTGAGCCTGGCAAAGGCTTCCTCAGTGGCTGCCAACTTCCTCTTCAGCTCTTGGGTCGCATGACCGCAGACCTGCCGATTCGTTCGTGCAGCCGCCGTTTGGCCGGGTCTAAAACCATGGACGGGATGCTCACCATGAACGGTTGTTGGGGTCGGGGGTGTATCAGGGCCAGTAGGCACGGATGTTTCGAGGTCAGGGACGGGTGGCGACGAGGAGCGGCGATCAGAACGGTGATCGGACTCGCTGTCGACGGTCTTGTCGTAGTCATTGATAGTATCAATCATACTCTTGAATTCCATTCTGTTCTCAGGGATGTACTCGGGGATCGGCTGATCTGACCTAAGGGCAGAGGTCAAGGGCTCTTGCTGCTCTTGTAGGAAGGACGCCACAGACTCCGGGGCCCTGTACGGCTGAGCCAACGGGGAGAACATCTCCGAACTTGAAGAGAGACGTGTAACAAAGCGAGGGACTAGATGTGGTCAGTCAGTCATGCAGTAACGTAAATATGGATCTGGTCACTCACCACTGGCTGAGCTCGGCAGTGACACCGGTCGCGGAGCTGGCGAAGGGACTGGTGTAGAAGACTGCCTCTGTCTCATGAGAATATCGAGACCGGCGAAGTGGTTGCGTGGAGGCGACCTTGGGCGGTTCTCCGAGAGAGACATGCGGCCGACGAGACCGTTGGTACGGTGAATGCCGTCGATGCCAGTGGTGTTCTGAGAGGAGGTGCCCTCGTCACTGAGGTCGATGAGGTCGCCCGACATGTTGCCAGTGGTCGGTGATGCTGGTTGGAAATGAGAATAGATGGGGAAAGACAGAAGAGCTGTCGGTTGTTGTGGGGGATTTTGTTTTGATTGTGGGGAGGTGAGGTGAGAGACAGCAGTCACAACAACGCCAAGCCAGAGACGAGCGCAACAGGCAGTCACCGTGACTTACACAACACGTTGCCAGGCACGTGCGCAAGATAGGAAACTGAGCTCGAAAAACGGAAACAATGGAAGAGCATGAGAGGAGACTGGAGATCCCTACATGAAGTGACTCAGGAGTTTTACGACTACCATGCGAAATGAATGGCCTTTGATAGCCACGTAGATGTATGCAAACTTACCCCTAGGTCAGACGCTATTGCTATGCTACAGATGTCACAGGCGGGTAGCGAAGCATACGCCTTTGTGCCAGGGCTTCGTGTATTGAACCAAGAAGAAGGTATGCGTGTCTGATAAGCTCTGTCCGGCCTAAAAGTGTGCAGGAGGCGATGACATCATTCTCATTCTGGGTTGAAATGGTCGGCAGATGCCCACCGGACAACGACAAGTGACAGTGCGTGAGGATACTTCACGTTAATGTGGTCTCGAGGTGCATACGCGATAAGAAGAGCTCTTTGCCCAGACGCACGCCTACAATTCTACCAGACCATCTCTTGTCAAATCGGCTCTTGCGTCGTTCTTGACCTCATCTCAGCGCACATCCAGTGATGAAAGGAACAGAAAGAACGGGTGAAAAGGACTTGCTATACTTGACATGTGCAATAGGAGGACCAAGAGCGCCATCAATCTCTTGCTGCATGATTCGGTCGCTACGCCGACGTCTCCAAGCAGACTGCGCTCTGAGCGGTGAAAAGGTCTTGATCATCGGCCGAAACACTTGAGCTCCCAGACCCGCAGAGGCGGATAGACAACTGCAGCCCATGCGAAACCGACATAGTTGCCCATCTAATCACATTAGCTTTGTATAGCTCTGACTTCTCACGTGCACATACATCAGCTCCGTAAGTACCAACTTGCTTAGCAATTGGCCCAATGTACCAGACCTGGGCCATACACATGATGGCACCAATCCAGCCGATCACAAACGACGTGAAGGCAGCGATACCCAACGGAAGCTTCTTCTTCTGGTTCCAGACTTGCCAGTTGAAGCCAGTCTTGCGTCGGAAGATCAAATGCTCTTCAAGTGTAATGGCGATCCAGACGGAGACCCAATAGCCCATGAGAGCAAGGAAGTTGGTGAAGATCTCGGCGAGATGGGCACGACCTGCCAAGGCACAGACTGTGTAAATGACTACCCCAACAGTGTTCCAGATGACCCTCGGTACGACACTTGCGTAGCGCCCTAGGATCTGGGCATCGATGCCGGAAGAATAGGTAGGGACGATGAGATTAGCGACAAGACCCAAAGCTACCACCACGCCGCAGAACGAGCCGAAAGCGCCTAGCGGTTTGTATGCTTCGACTATCAGAGCGCCTTGGGATACGCCGTATGCTGCTGCCCAGTCCGTGTTGGTAAGCATACCACATGCCAGGCCAATTCCCAAGACGAAGGCGAACGTGAAGCTACACATCAGACCGAGCATGGTCATGCCGAAGATCTTGAACGAAGATGCGTGTTCTGGATAGTAGACGAAATAGTCTGCTGCTCCTCCGCCGTACGTGATGGCCGCAGCGAGTGTCAGGCCGAAGAAGCTGATGCGATTCCCGATTATGGTATCTGTATCTTCGTCGCCGTGAGACTCGGAGGAGATGTTGAACTGCGGACCGGCGACGCCAGCTAGAATGCATAACACAATGAGTTGCGGTAGCCAAGCCCATCGCTCGTAGTAGTGGAAGATCTGGTAACCAAAGGTTGTGATGGCCCATGCGATGATCGCTACGATGATGATGCCGACCACGACGGACATGGAGTTGCCTGAGACAGCTGAGAGGATCTGCCCAGCGACTACGCAGTCGATCATACCGTAGCCGAGCAAAACGATGATATTGAGCAGGACGACGACCTTGGACGGCCACCAGCCCGTGATGTATCGTGAGAAGATCATAGTCCGATTGCCGCTCTTCGGACCAAAGGTTGCGATGTATGCGACGACAAGGCAGCCAACGAATGCGCCGAAGACGGCCAGCATGCACGAATCGAGGAAACCGAGGGCGAAGACGGCAGGACCGAGCATGCCCAGGGTAATGTTGTTCGCCGCGAGGTTGACGCTGAACCACATGATGGCCACCTGAGAGTATCCAAGCAGGCGCAAGTCCTGCCGCTCTTCCGGCTCGACGCGTTCAATGCCGCGAGCCTCGAGGTTGTATGCGACAAGCTGCCTCTCAAACGCCTTCCACATCTCCTGCCATCTGCTCTGGTGTCTCGCCCCTTCATTCTCGGTATCGCGTGCGCTGACAGGTAGTCCGTTTTCGTGTCTCGCGTTCGGGGCGAATATCGACTTCTTTTCATCGGGCGGGTTCGTGACGGTGTCCATGACGGCGACCTAAAGCCATTAGTAGCAGCCTCGCGGCGAGGGAGCAAAGCATGAGTCCTTTCGCAGGCTTTAACCTGATCAAGTTCAGACCGTATATCTCAGATCGCTGCCAGCAAAGATGCTGGCGAGCGAACACCGGTCTCATGCGTTCTGCTATCTGACGTTACCTTGATCGGGCATTCTGCTACTCGGCTGCATCCTGGCTGTGTTGCCGTACTTTTGAAGAGACAATGACGCGATAGTAGGGATGCGAAGCAAAGATCAGGAGAGAGATTGAATGTCAATGGAAGCTGCGAGAATTGGTAGTGACATTGGAAGCGAAAGGCGACGAGCGAAGGATGACATGACCGAAAACCCCGCTATCGTGCCGTCCCGAAAACCTTGCGCCTTTCCCGTGTCTTGGACTGCTCGCGTAATGGGATGCGTTCAAACTCTTCAACAAATTTCGGTTAGACTTGACTTTTCGCGCGCACGCCCGTGGACGCGTCGAAATCACGCGATGGTTGTGGAGGTGTAGGAGCAGACGTCTGTGGTCATAGCTTCCCTGTGTTCACGCGGCGGAACTGCGGGTCAGCCTCGCCCAGCTAACATCGACGCTTCAGTTCCATGACAGCATCATCTCGCGTTCAACGACATTTTCAAACGAAAATAACGGCAAGAGCACTACGGTCACGCCGATGAGCACATGCCATCTACGGCGACGTCACTTTGCGCATAGAGCAAGTACACGCGGCGCTCTTATCATCTTCGGCGCCCGCCAGTAACCCCCGGTCTACATCGGCCTCCGTACTACCTTCCACACCATGCTCTTTCGATCAAGCTGCATATCTATCCTGACTATTTTTCAACTTAGCCGTCACTCCACTGCTACTTTACCAGCAGGTTTCCATAAGGTTGTATCCATATTAGGCAGGTCTAAGATCTGCGTTGCGACACATGAACACCGGGTCACGAACCCATGAACCCATGCTTATCTGTGATAGGTAAGATGCGACTAACCGCTATTACTGTACCTCGACTACTACCGCCATTCCCGGCCATTGCCGTGGGACTAATGCGGGGGAAAGAACGTAGGCGAAACTAAAGTGGACGATACTTCAGATATGCATTCAAGCATGCATTCCTAGGTCAAGCTTTAAGTATCTGTCGATGTGCATCAGACTGCAGTAAGCTTTGCATTCTTCGCAACTATCTCTCGACGTGTATTCATCATGAGGTTGGCGAATACATTGTTGTTGACCACTGGTCTTGTACCACTGACCTTCGCTGCGCCGGCAATCCATGGACGGGCCAACAACAGCACATGTAGCAAGACTACTGTCGCAATCATGTGAGTTTAATCTTCAAAAACGCAGGGTCGAGGTTGACTGACTATTTGTAGCGGTGGCGGAGTTGCCGGTATCACAGCAGCTGTAAGTCTACATTGAGATTCTTTTCAAGATGTGTGGAACGAGGCAATTCATCTGATCCAATACATTCCGGAGGCTCAATGATTACATTTCATCCAGCTACTAATGGATTGTAGCAAGCGCTTGCCAATCAATCAGTTACCGACTTCCTGATTCTCGAGTACCAAGATCACATCGGTGGCCGCATGCGAAACACAAAGTTCGGTTCCGACTCCAACGGCGACCCTTATACCGTCGAGCTAGGCGCCAACTGGATCTCAGGTCTTGGTGAGGATACCGTAGACGGTCCAGAGAACCCCGTCTGGACTTTCTCAAAACAAGTCAACCTCTCCAGCCCAAATTCCGACTCCTTCTCCGTCAGGACCTACAATGAGACGGGCGCTGTCGACTTTACGAATCTACTGGACGAATTTGAAGACTACTGGAGTGTCTTCGAGCAAAGTGCTGGAACGCTACTCTCCGAGAACTTGCAAGACAGGAGCTTCCGTGCAGGTCTGTGGCAAAGCGGGTGGAGACCAAAGGGCGATCCGGCGCGCAAGGCTGTGGAGTACTATCTTTGGGATTGGGAAACGGCTCAGGTAAGGTCCTGAGACCAGACTATAGTGAGATATACTGATGGCTTCGCTTCAGACACCAGAAGAATCGAGCTTCGTTTACGGCATCACAGGATACAATTTGACTTACTATGGCTTCTCCGAGGTCAGCAACTGTACGTACTTCCTTGTAAGAGTATAAGCAAGGTACTCATACACATCCTTATAGTCTGCACCGATCAACGCGGCTTCAACACCTGGCTCAAGCACCAAGCCTCAGCCTTCCTCAAACCCGCCGACCCCCGCCTCCTCCTCAACACCATCGTAACAAACATCACCTACTCCGACACTGGCGTCCACATTCTCACTTCAGACGGCTCCTGCATCGAAGCCGACTACGCCATCTCCACCGTCTCCCTCGGCGTCCTCCAAAACGATGCCATAACCTTCTCGCCCACCCTCCCCGACTGGAAGCAATCCGCCATCGCTACCTTCTCCTTCGGCACCTACACAAAACTCTTCTTCCAATTCAACGAAACCTTCTGGCCAACCGATAAGCAATTCTTCCTCTACGCTGACCCCACGACGCGTGGGTACTACACCGTCTGGCAGAGTCTATCGACGGAAGGGTTTTTGCCCGGTTCCAACATCCTCTTCGCCACGCTTGTAGACGAACAGTCGTACCGTGTGGAAGCGCAAGACGATGAAACTACGAAAGCGGAGGGTATGGCTGTTCTCCGCAAAATGTTTCCCAACATCACGGTCCCTGAACCCATCGCGTTTACCTACCCGCGCTGGTCCCAAACACCCTGGTCCTACGGTTCCTACTCCAACTGGCCTGCCGGAACGACACTCGAAATGCACCAGAACCTTCGCGCGAATGTGGGTAGATTGTACTTTGCGGGCGAGGCGATGAGTGCGGAGTACTTTGGTTTCCTGCACGGTGCGTGGTTCGAGGGGCAGGAGGTTGGTGAGCGCATTGCGGGTAGGATTACGACGGAGTGTGTTAATACGGAGAGTGGGTGTGGGGATCATAATCGGTATGAGGTGCTGCGTGGGACGACGGAGTTGTGGGAGGTTAATGCGTTTAATGGGATGGGGACGAGTCCGTTTTTTGTGGCGGATACTGGGGAGGCGGAGTAGGAGGTTGTGAATTGTGAGCACGTCTGAATGTCGATGTGGAAATTGGACAAAGCCTGTAACTCAGGAAGATGGTATTTTTACGGCATCCTTCTCTTGCTCTTTTGACGCCATTTGGTCTCCACCCCCCTCCTTCATCTCGACACCCACCCAGATAGGCACATGATCACTCGTCCCCATCTCCTCCTCACTATCCATAATCCCAGCCGCCCGAACCCACCCCTTCTCCCACATCTTCCTCCCCGCAACAAAGAAATCCACCCGATCACAGCTACTCCCCCACTTCCTTCCTCTAGAATGATACGTATACCGCCTCTCATCCGGAAACATCTCCCTCCACACATCAACACCATCAAACGGCTCCTTCGCCTTCCCACCCCCTCCAAGCAGCTTATCGTGGAAATCTGCGCGGTTGACAACATGTGCCTGTGGGAAGATGCGTAGTTTGGGATACCCGTCTCGCTCGTCAGGCGCGACGTTCATATCGCCTGCGAGTAATACATCCCACCCTTGCTTCTCCAACTCCCTACACTCCCTCGCTAAAAGCTTATGAAACGCGCGTTTTCGATCATGTCTCGTTCCTTTAAACGCACCGGTCTGCGGGTCTCGATACGCATTTTCCGTTCCGTTGACGGCGTAGATGTTGAAGATGGCGAGTTTGGCGGTGCTGGTTTTCGCTCGGAGTTCTACGATGGAGATGCGGCCTTCGGCGTCCCAGTCTACGGTGCGTAGGGCGATTTTGTAGCGGATGTAGAGGTCGCGACGAATGAGGCTGCATACGCCGTAGATTTTGCCGCTGCGTTTGGGGCCGCGGGCGTTGTGGAGGTCGGTGGGGAGGGTGAAGTGTGTTTCGTATTGTGGGCGCTTCAAGTGGGATATTGGTTCTTCTTCTGGAAGATATGATTTTATTGCCTTTCTGACTGCGTCTTGCGTTTTTTCATCTGTGTGGGCGATCTTGACTTCTTGGAGGAACAGGATAGACGGCCATTGGTGTTTGTGTAGGAAACCTCTTAGGGAGGCTGCTGGTCCGGCGTTCTTTGCATCGTCCCGAAGTGCCGTTCTGGATTTGGGAATGAAGAATTCCGTGATTGGCTTCTGTAGGAACGGAGCAATGCCATCGATGTTCCAAGAGAAGATGCGTAATGTGTTTGAGTCGAGAGGTGGAAGGGGCGTTGGAGATGCGGGCGTGCTTGGAGGCGCCGTTTGCCCGGGAGACGCTGCTATGTTTGTCGCGACCCTGCGTCGTTTCGAGGGAGGTGAACTGATATCTCGATTCATGGTACTATAATGGCGGCATGCCGTGACTTTTTGTGATATATGTGACACCTGCAGTTGTAAGATGCGCGCACGACCAAGTGACGTCATCATCACTTTCTGCACCGAAGCAATGCCCTAGACTGGTCGCAACCCCAGCCACCAAGATCCTCGTAATTTTGGTATATGTCGTATTGCTGTTTGCAGCATACAATCGCGCATGCACGTGGGCGGGGCGCGACGCGTCTTCCCACTAGAATTGATTGGGCAGTGATCAGCCACATCATTCACTACCCCACCACTACCAACACTTGACAACCACGCTACAGACCTCAGCCACAGCCACCTAGAATCCTTCTTCCAACACCACAATTGCATACCTACTCCGTTCTTCTATCTAACTTCACCATGTCCTACCGCCGCAAGAAGTCCCTCCTCATCGGCATCAACTATGTCGGCAGCAGCCACGAACTACGCGGCTGCCACTCAGACGTAGACAACATGGCAGAATTCCTCTCCTACCGCGGCTACACCAACTCACACAAAGACCGAGTCATCCTAACCGACCGACCAGAAGTACCCTACGACTCACCCTACTACCCTACCGGCCACAACCTACTCGCAGCCATGGACTGGCTCGTCTCAGAACCGGGTTGCACCTTATTCCTCCACTACTCCGGACATGGCGGCCAGATTGCAGATGTAGACGGAAACAGGACGACGGGAATGGATGCGTCGATTGTTCCCGTGGATTTCGAACAGCGCGGCCAGATTTCCAGTACCATCTTACATGAACATCTCGTTACGTATATGGCGCGGGATTGCACGTTGTTTGTCATAATGGACTGTTGTCATTCCGGTAGCGCGCTCGAGCTACCGTATGTCTACCGCTCCGATAGCGATGGCCAGATCAGTTTGATGGATAACTTGAAAGCTGGGCTTACGCTTGCTAATGAGGCGCGCGATATCATCTCTGGTGGTTTCTCGTATAGCAAAGTTGGGGAGGCGAGGGAGTTACTTGCGGGTGCGAGTACGTTTTTCAAGGGACTAAAGCATTTTGGGGAAGAAGAGGAGGAGGGGTTGGAAAGTGGAGAGTTTGCGGGGCAGTATGGGAGTGAACAGAAGATGGTGACGATGTTCAGTGGGTGTAGGGATGATCAGACGAGTGCGGATGCGCGGATTGAAGGGGAGCCGACAGGAGCTATGACGTGGGCGTTTTTGGAGATGATGAAGCAGGATCAGACCCCAACTTATGCTGAGGTGAGTGCTTGACGCATGTTTGGCGGATCTGAGTATCATTGTACTGACCGGAATACAGACACTCAAGTTCATCAGGAAGACCCTGGACGAGAGCAACTACAAGCAGATCCCACAGCTGAGTTCAGGATTGGATATTGATTTGGATGACATGCATCTGGTACTATGATCACAGGAAATCGTCATTCCTAGCAATTAGATATGCAGCATTCTACTCATTTATCATGAACAGAAACCGAGACTTTGTCTGACCTGGATGTCAAACTTAGCAATCGACGCAGCTTGAAATATGCATGTACCAACCCGTCTTAAACAACGAAGAGTCAGTTTGTCTAACCTCTAAGACCACACCCGCAACTCATGTCTCGAACCAGCAAACCCTCCATCCCTTTAACACTCGTCATCCCTATAAGCACCCCCTCTCACCACAATCCTCCTTCCAGCGGCCAACACCCCAACATTACCCCCCGCCCCACGCTCAAAATGACACCACCAATCGACCCCCTCCGCCACCGCATCTTCTCCGAAATAAACCTCCAACTAACGCACCCCTCGATCCCCAAACCCCTGCTGAACGAATGCTCAAAACACCTCGCTTTCCTCGTGCGGTACTACGCCAATGATCCTGACTGTAATCCGCTGAGGGTAAGCGTGCCGATTGTGGAGGTGCCTGTTGTATCTCTGCTCAATGTGGGTGTGGACGGGGAAGGGGAGGAGGAGGAGGAGGATGTAGAGATAGAGCCGGGATTGAAGATTGCGTTGGTAGTTTTCGAGGAGAAAAGACGGAAAAGCTCTGTGCAGATGAGGATGGAGGGATTGCGGAAGATGAAGATGGAGAGGTTGTATGGAGTGGGTAAGGTGTTGGGGGAGGAGGAGACTGAAGACGACGTGACACCAGCGGTGAAGACGAAGAGCGATGACAAGGCTGGTGGTCCCGTTAGCAAGATCGCCGGGATTCGACATTGTCCTGCTGCGTCGGCATCTCGTACTGGTACTTCTGTTCCGTCTACGGCTGCGAAGCCAAGAATGCGTGTACTGATCGAGACGACTGGTACGCTGGGGCATTACAAGTGCTTGGTTGCTAAGATCTGTGGCATGGCCGAGCGTGTCATAGCCGGACTGTTGGAAGGTGATGAGGACATGGCGCGTGCGTGCGAAGACGTCAAGAGAAATAAGGGGAAGAAGGCGAATGCGGATGTAGGAAAGGGACCGGTGTGGGATGTTGAGGCTTGCGGGGAATGGTGTTAAATTGTCCAAGATGTTTCGACAAGAGGCCCAGGACGTGAAATCGATCGTTGCTTTGGTATTCTTATTTCATTCTAGCACGTAAGACATACAATGACAGAGAGACAACAGATCTATTGCATCAGAATAACATACTTCCATAAAATCCAAAAAGGTATCCCTAGCTTGAGCTAACTCACACAAGCTATTTCCCATCACACCAGAACACCGACCCCGCTACCCGTCGTCAAGAAGTGACCCAGAAAATAGTGCGATGAAAGTACAAACGCCTCGCAAATGCAGCAAAGAACCGCCGTTTGGTTGCTTAGTCCTTAGCGACCTCTGTGCGGACCTCGCCCTTGACGTTTTCAGAATCGCGTTCTGCGTCGCCCTCTTCTTTGGCTGCGGCGATTTCTTCTTTATTGTCATTCTCCTCCATCTCGACGTCTGCCATGGGGGCTGAAGTAGGTGCCATGGTTGTTGTTGCTGCCGCCGCCGGTGGGGATTCGGGTGGGGTTACGACACCAGCGGGCGATTGTGATCGCGTTGAGCCAGCGGCAGGTGCAGTCGCAGCAGGCGCCGCGTCCATGTCGATGTCGCCATCTTCATCGGCTTCTTGCTCGCCAGCGGCGGGGGTTGTTGTGCGCGACTTGGCGACTGCAGATGCTTGCCGTGTGGACACGGCGCTTTCACCATTGGTCTCCATACGGTCCAAGTCATCCTCTGGAGCAGCGTTGGGGTTCGGGAAGTCGGTGATGTGTCGCCTCTTCTTAGTCCCGGGCTGCTCACGCACTCCGAGGCTGTTCTTGTAATCCTCGTCATCGCTCGCGTCGTAGAGCTCGCCGTCGTGCTCTATTTGCTGGTCGCGTTGACGCTGGGTCATGCGCACATCCTTGTTCTCGTCGGCATCGAGATCGTCGTCTTCATCTTCAGCGTCTGAGTCCGTAGCGCGAGTGAGACCCGCAGGCACATCCGGGATATTGGTGAAGGCTTCAACTGATGGCTTTCCGGTTCTCCGAATATTGTCGATAACGGCGGATTTGATCTTGTGCAGATAGTCGTGAGAGTTGGCGTTCTCCATGTTAGAAGGACGGACGTCCAGTTCGTAGTCGGGAGCGAAGTATTCGTAGTAGTCGTTGAAAGGCAGCTGCTTCGACATTTTGGTCGAGACAAGCTCTCCTGTCTCGTAGGCCCAAGTTCGCGCCACGTTTCTCATAGTGTAACCACCTCCTCCCAGCACGATGACTGGTACGCCGAAGCTCTTGACGTACTTGACACAATTGGCGTGGCCGTCCATGCTCAGGTTGAAGCAACCAAGCCTGTCTCCGGAAAGACTGTCACCACCGCATTGTAGAACAATAGCCTCTGGGCCGTAGTATGTCATGACCGCCTCGATGACGGGCTCGAAGATGTTGCGATAGGTCTCGTCGGTGATGCCGTCGCGAAGAGGAAAGTTGACCGAGTAGTTCTTGCCGCTGCCAACACCGATGTCGCGCAGTTCACCGGTACCGGGGAAGTACTCGCCGTACTTGTGGAAAGAAACGGTCATGACGCGATCGGTCGTGTAGAAGGCTTCCTCGACACCATCTCCATGGTGGACGTCGATGTCGATGTACAGCACGCGCTGCTTGTATCGGAGCAGCTCGATGATTCCCAAGACAATGTCATTGACGTAACAGAAACCACTGGCTTCGCTCTTCTTCGCGTGATGCAGTCCTCCCGCCCAGTTTACTGCGACATCGCATTTTCCTCGGTTCAAGCGCGCAGCGCCCTCCATGGTGCCGCCAGCGCTGATACCGCAGAACTCGAACAGGCCGTCAAAGACGGGGCAATCGTCTCCGACGTTGTATTTGCTCTGCTCACGTGTGAAGCTCTCCATATTATCGGGAGTGACCTTGTGAAGGAACTCGATGTATTCGTCGGTGTGGAACTGCGTCATCTCGTATTTGGATGCGGGCTTAGCGCGCTGCCTGTATGTTAGCACAAATCCTTGGAGAATGAACGTCGGATCCACCTACGTAAATCTCCATTTTGGTGTACAGTCCGTAGTTCATGATCAAGCTGTGCGCCATGCGTATGCGGTGGGGCTTCATGGGATGTCCGGCTACATAGGCGTAATTGCCGACGTCGGAGTCGTAGAAGTATGCGACCTTCTTTGGCTGCGAGGCGACGCCATTGCTCAAAGACGAGGAGCCCGTCGTGGGTTCCATAGCGTTGGCCATATCTTTGGTGGCTGCGCACAGCTATGCGACTGTGAGGATGTGTGATGATATTATCGTGATAAATGTGATAAAGTTGGAGTGGATGTTGCTGGCGACGGTGACTACAGCATGCAAGGTGTTCGAGTATCAGCAATCAAGGAAAGGTGGAGGGGCCTGGCAGAGAGATGGCGGGAGCTTGAACAAAGACCCTCGCGCGCCATTACCATGAGAGCTGCGACAGGCCCCCCCCCGGTCTAGTGCCGGTTCCGGAACAACCGAATCGCCGCATGCAGTCGCGCAGTTACGTGAGAGAGCTCCGAGCATCAACAGCTTCATCATCGCCGCCGCCTTACCCAGCAACACCTCGTCCACACCCGAATACCCTTCACCCCGTCGCCAGATACCCCGCCTGAAGTAATTAAACAACCATCGCCAGTACTCCACCATGGATCGGTTAACTAGGATGCTCGCCGCCGCTCAAGGTGGCATGGGCGGTATGGGAGGACCCCAGGGCGACACCAACCTGATCGATAACTCCGAAACCGTCTACATCTCCTCCTTGGCGCTCCTCAAGATGCTGCGGCACGGTCGCGCCGGTGTACCCATGGAAGTCATGGGCCTGATGCTGGGCGAGTTTGTGGATGACTACACAGTACGAGTGGTGGATGTCTTTGCCATGCCGCAGTCAGGAACCGGTGTGTCCGTCGAGGCCGTAGACCCCGTCTTCCAAACCAAGATGATGGACATGTTGAGGCAAACAGGAAGGTACGCAATTGCTGAGTCGGCGCTCGAAGCCGCCACCGCTTCCAACCCGCACATCAGTCGCTGACAAACACAGGCAAGAGACCGTCGTCGGCTGGTACCACTCACATCCCGGTTTCGGCTGCTGGCTGTCCTCGGTCGATATCAACACACAGCAGTCGTTCGAGCAGCTCACACCCCGCGCCGTCGCCGTCGTCGTCGACCCCATCCAGTCGGTCAAGGGCAAAGTCGTCATCGATGCCTTCCGCCTCATCAACCCGCAAGCTCTCATGATGGGCCACGAGCCCCGCCAGACAACTTCCAATGTCGGTCACCTCAACAAGCCATCGATACAGGCGCTTATCCACGGCCTGAACCGCCACTACTACTCCATCGGCATCAACTACCGCAAGACTGCGCTGGAGGAGAACATGCTGATGAACCTGCACAAGCACGTCTGGACAGAGGCGCTGCTCATGGACGACTTCAAGGGTGAGGGCGAGCGGAATACCGACAGGCTACAGAAGCTCGTTACACTGGCAGACGGCTACGAGAAGCGCGTAAAGGAGGAGACGGAGTTGACCAAGGACCAATTAAAGACGCGATACGTCGGAAAGGTCGACCCCAAGAAGCGTACGTTTGACTTGTTGCCTGGCACCAATTACCTACTAACAACACCTTATAGATATCTCAGACGTTGGCCAGCAGCTCATCGAAGACAACATCGTCTCCGTCTCACGGCAGATGATCGACAAGGAAGCCTCGGTACCAAAGTCGAACTCGCGGCAAAACGGCCAGTCAAGCGGCGGCGACGACATGGAGATGGAGGAGTAGGATCGCATACCCGTGGTCTGGCTTGGAGGAAGCATGTACACTGGCATGAGCTGCAGAATATTGCACTCAAAAGAGGCATACGATACAGTAATGCATAGACTATGTATGAGAACAACGACATTACACAAGCATGGTTTCACCCATCATGACCGTTACTTTGCCGATCTGA